CACTTCCGGCTATGTTCTGGTCTACGCACCACTCGCGAATGGACTACAAACTACAGCGCCCCTTGCTGTAGTGCACCGCCGACGCAGACAACAACGCCCATATCGCAGCCACCTACCATCAGGCTGCAACAGCAACTGCGTCAGGTGCAACAGGCCCAAGGTAGGCCCCACACTTCTCTGACCCCCCGTATCGCGACCAGCCTCCCAAGGCACATGAACGTACTCCAACTCAACTGCAACGGACTCCAGAGCAAGATTGAGGAGATAGCAGTCTTCATGGGTCGGCACGGCATATTGATAGCTGCGGTCCAAGAAACGAAGTTGCACAGCAACTCAACTCTGTTGGGTTGCGCCGCCTACAATGTGCTCCGTAAAGATCGCGAGCGAGATAATGGTGGAGGACTAGCGTTCATTATACACCACACAGTGCAGTATCGGCTAATCGAAGAAGACATCGACCCAAGGGACACTACCCTAGAATGTCAGGGCATAGCTGTCCGGTCAGGCGATGTCGAGCTCGAAATATTTAACGTGTACATACCCCCTGTCAGCAGCTGCCCGGCTGGATATCTCCCTGACATAGGTGCCCTACTCAAAGGCGAAAACCGATTGGTAGTAGGTGACTTCAATGCGCACCACGATCTTTGGCACTCAAGCCTGGCCAATGATCGGAGGGGAAACAGTTTGGCTGAGCAGTTAGACGATTCGACATTCTGCACCATGAACGACGACGCCCCCACCAGGATTGTGGGCAGCTGCAGCAGCTCGCCAGACCTAACAATTGCTAGCGCTGGTCTGATAAATAGCATATCATGGCGACCTATGCTAACGTTAGCATCAGACCATCTGCCCATAATCATCTCGATCAATAAGCCCACCGACTTTGCTCCCGCGGATCACCGAACCTACACCAACTTCAACAAAGCTGATTGGAACGGCTTCGCGGAAGTTACCGAGAGCAGCTTCGCCGCCCTCCCCACACCCACAGACGTACATGCTGGCGAACGCCAGTTCCGCAAGGTAGTCACAGCCGCAGCAGCTCGCTTCATACCGTCCGGACGCATCGCGGAAGTCCGCCCAAATTTCCCGGCTGAAGCAGCTGTACTAGCGAATGAGCGTGACCACCTACGCCAGGTCGACCCCGGGGACCCTCGCTTGAGGGAACTTAATTTGGAGATTCGGCAACTGGTAAATCAACACAAGCGGACAAAGTGGGAAGAGCACTTGAAGGCCTGTAACTTCACCTCTGGTGTGAGTAAGCTCTGGTCAACCGTGAGGTCCTTGTCCAACCCGACGAAGCGTGATGACAGAGTGGAAATTTCATTCGAAGGTCACGCCTCATCGGACCCGAAGAAATGCGCGAACTATTTCAGTCGGCAATTCACACTGCATCCTTCGGTAGACAAGGCCAAACGTCGAGTGACCAGGAGGCTGCACAAACTGCCCAAAAACGATGCACCACTTGTTTTCACCAGCGGTGAAGTGAAGGGGGCCATCGGGAAGGCGAAAGCCTCCAAAGCCATTGGACCCGACGGAATCTGTATGCTGATGTTGAAACATTTGGGGCTTGTGGGGGTAGCATACCTCACGGAGGTCCTCAATTTGTCTATGACCACTCTCATCATTCCTGATGTGTGGAAATCAGGGAGAGTGCTCCCACTGCTGAAACCGGGGAAGCCCGCCAACAGAGGAGACTCTTATCGCCCGATAACGCTCCTTTCCCCGGTCGCGAAGACACTTGAGGCCCTGCTGCTCCCATACTTCACCTGCCACCTAACCCCAGCGAAACATCAGCATGGCTTCCGTAAAGTGCACAGCACAACAACAGCACTTAACGCCATAAACACCCAGATAACCCGCGGCCTAAATCGAAACCGCCCCTGTGAGAGAACTGTCCTAGTAGCGGGACTGAAGCGATGGTCGGCGAATTATATGAGTGGTCGGCAATCATCAGTAATCTTCAGAGATCAAACCTCGAAACCTAGAAGAATAAAACAAGGGGTTCCACAAGGTGGTGTTCTCTCCCCCCTTACTTTTTAACTTCTATATCTCGAAACTCCCCCAGCCACCTGAAGGAGTTTCCCTGATCTCGTACGCTGATGACTGTTCGATTTTGGCGTCTGGGAATGGAATTGATGACCTCTGCTCAAAAGTAAACGGCTATCTCTCCAGCCTTTCTCGCTTCTTCACTGCAAGGAGCCTAACCCTCTCCCCAACGAAATCAACGGCGACTCTCTTCACCACCTGGACGAAGGAGGTCAGGCTTGAATTAGGCATTCACGTCGACGGCACACCAATACCGACGGTGAACAACCCGAAAATTTTAGGGGTTACCTTTGATAGCCTGCTCTCTTTCTCCGCGCACACAACCGCAGTTGTCAACAAAGTACAGAGCCGCAACAAGGTCCTCAAGTCGCTCGCCGGCAGCACTTGGGGCAAAGACAAAGAAACGTTGCTGGCAACATACAAGGCAATTGGCCGGCCGGTTCTAAATTATGCTGCGCCAGTTTGGACGCCGGGGACTAGTTGGACGCAGTGGACGAAGCTACAGACTTGTCAGAACGCCGCACTCCGGACAGCGACTGGGTGCCTTCTGATGACGCCTGAGCATCACCTACACAGTGAGGCCCAAGTGCTCCCCGTAAGGGAACACAACAAGATGCTCTGTAAGCAGTTTCTTGTGGGGTGTCACAGAAGTGAACACCCCAACAGACCACTGCTGGAGGAGGAGCCTCCGCCCAGGCACGTCAGGGGGCACCTATTCATGTACAAGGACGCAGTCCAGACCTACACAGACCAACCACTGGACCCAATGACGTACAGACGAGCGATTAACGACATTCATAGGGAGTCTGTCTCCACCTACCTCGACTCCCGGCCTAGGAATGTCGTTATCGGAGCCCAATCACCACCTGTGGAAGAGACGGAGCTTCAGTTACCTAGAGAGACCCGCGTTACCCTGGCTCAGTTACGGTCTGGATATTGTAGCCGCCTAAACAGCTACCTGTCCAGACTCGACCCAAACATCCCAAATGAGTGCCCGGCGTGTGGAGACTCCCCCCACGACACCAACCACCTCTTCACATGCCAGCTCAATCCGACTCAACTAACACCTCTCTCCGTTTGGTCCGACCCCATCGAAACAGCTCGTTTCCTGGGCCTACCGTTAGTTGAGCTTGACGATAATGATTAAAAGTTGACCCGAAACAGGCGGGGCTTAGTAGTGCCGCTACAACAACAACAACAACAACCAGTTTTTTTACTACAATTTAATGGGCTACAAAACTGCATACTCAAAAAAATTCTAAAAAATCTGATTAAAAAGTTGAATATTTGCATGTAAATTTGCAGAATTTTCTGGAGTTCTGCACATAGTTGAGGAATATATATTTTTTTTTTGTCATAGAATGAACCATATTTTTATAAAAAATTGGCGGAAAAATAAAATGTATGCATATATTGTGAAAAAATTGCTGAGCCTATACCTTTTGCCGGCAGTGCATATGTTTTACGAATGTACATACTTTAATGCTTCCTCTTGCGGAATCTGCATTTATTTAAGAAAATAAATACTTATAACATATAAGTTTTACGAATGTACATACTAGAATGCTTCCTCTTGTGGAATCTGCATGCCCGCCGCTTGCATATCTTTCAATATTTGTTTATTTATTATATTTTTTATATTCGCATTAACATTTAGAAGAAGACCGCCCGTACGAGCTGCATGCTCTATTCGTTGAACCACCTCTACTTCACGTCGTGAGGACACAAAATTCGTAACCAACGAGGGCTGCAAATTTCGGACACGACCAATGCGACCGCAGCGATGAATATAGTCGGATATATGTATCGGAAAATCAAAATTTATGACATGACGAGCATTTGTTGTATCCAGCCCTCTGCTGCCCACATCTGTAGTCGATAGCACGTCAAATTCACCATTCTGAAATTGTTCGAAGCGTCCCACTCGTATTTTCATAAGCATATCACCATTTAAATTTACACTGCGTATTCCATTATTATTGAGAAAAATGTCTACAAAATCACTCGTTGCTGATTTATTGCTGAACACTATGAGAGGCTGCTTTTTACCGATGCCCTTTCGGACTATACTTAATAGATTTGTAGGTCGACTTTGTTTGGACATCCGCAAAAAACGTTGTTCAATGTGTGGCAATAATTTATGCAAATTTAGGCTTGAAACTTCTTGCAATGTCTGCATATCTATCAACTTATGCAGTATTTCATTTGTATTCGTTGGCATTGTTGCAGAAACTAAAACTAGTTGAGTGCCAACATTGTTTGCATCCTGGTTGCGATTTTTGTGAAACTAGCAATATTATGCAATTTATTAAAGGTACTTAGAAAAACTACAAGGGCCAGTTTTTCAGTGCGCGGCTGTAGTTTAAACTCAGTTTAAACGCCCGATATGGCTGGTTTAAACTAAGATCAGCCAATCAAATGTCAGCCGGCTGTTCAATTTAAACTCAGTTTACTTAATCTAAGTTTAAACTGGCACTTAAAAACTAGCCCTAAAAGACATACCGGAAACCTCCTCAAAAAATAGCTAAGTTTATCGGAAAAGCTATCATCTAACAATGTGTCCGCTTCATCCAAGACAACATGTCGTACTTCTTCCATTCTATAAATGCCTGTTGTTACTAGCTTACTGAGAGCACCAATCGTAGCAACTAGAATGTCCACATCACAAAATTCCGGATCGACCATCAGACGCTTCGTGTTTCCACCAAATATGGTTTTTACCTTTAAGTCGGTTTGGTGACATAAGTTTTCTGCTACATTACCGATTTGGGCTGCCAATTCCCGTCCAGGCGCAATTATAACAACCAAAGGCGTGTTAAGCCTCCGACCATTTTGACGAATTTGCAACGTTTGTTTGTGTTCGATAATGCGTTGAACGATGGGAAGCATAAAGGCAAGTGTTTTACCACATCCAGTTTCTGCAGCAATCAACAAATGCTGGCTTTCGTACACTTTGGGTAAAGACTTCGTTTGAATGCTCGTAAAGCTATTTATTTTCATTCCCGATTTTAAATTCTCCAAAAGCCTATCGTTCAAACGGATATTTGCGCCGCTGAGAAAATCATCTACTTTTAGCATTTCAGCCTTTATATCGCCTCTGCCTACGGTCGCATTAAATATCATAAAATCGTCTTTTGATTTGTAATGCTTCCAACCGCTGGACGCTAATGGTATCGTGCCAAACTCACTTTTTTCTGGTGCGGGTACATACAAATTAAATTGTATCCTCTTGCAGCAAATTAAAGGTCGATTTAATGTTGGAGTTTTGCGGGGGTTTGATTTAATTACAGGCGCTGCTACCGTTGTACCAAAACGGAATATACCATTAAAATTTATATATTTAATTCTAGTATACATGATTTTTATTAAGTAATACTACTGGTCTGAAATAGAAATGTTAAACTTATAGGGCATTCGCACGTGGCGATTTTTCAGGCAACTTTTAGTTGAAAGCAAAAATCGCCTCGTCCGAACGGCCTTTCAACTAATCGCTTTCAACAAAGTTGGTCGCCAGCCAACTTTGAGCTCGTTCAACTTTTTTTCCTTGCAACACTGTGTTTGTTTACATTCTGTATCAGTGTTGGGATATGAAATTGTTCCTTCAGTACGAAATCTATACAAAAAATGTACTTTTCGGGTATAAATTGTATACACTTTTTAATTCGCTCATATATTTTCTTAGTACATTCCCTTCAAGACCAATGATTTTATGGTATTCATGAGAAAGTTTTATTGTTTATGTACATACGTTTACGTATTTTACACTTTTACAAATTGATTCCTCGTGCACATGTATTGCATTTAACGCAAATATGTATGCACACATTTTCAGGTATGCATCTTAACAAAAAGCATATTTAAGTTATTATAAATGGATAAAAGAGACATTTCCTTTGGATTCAGTACTAAAATTTGATATTTTAATAGAATTTCAAGTGCTTATCAAAACTTTACGAGAAGATTTGACCATTTATCTTAATATTATTCAACTTTAATTATTTTTTGTAAAAATACGCTTTATATTTTAAGAAAAGCCGTACAAATCCAAGGTTCAAACTTTGTGCAACATTAAAAAAACCAACACACTTTCGTAAAAATTTCGATCTATTTAATTCGATTTCCTAGATTTATTTTGAGTGTGTGGTTTTTAGCCCATTAAATTTTAATATAACTAAGTTTTTTAAGATTTCTTTGATAAAGGTGTTGCTAATTTCCTCCATATAAAAAAAATCGTCGAACACACTTCGTATGGAAGACAATGGCTGACATCGTCGACAAAACAAAATTGCCAAGTTCAACGGTAAGTCCCAGCTACTTTAAACTTGCACTTTATTATACTAAAATTGAATGGGCTAAAAACTAAAGAATATTAATAAAGCTCGAAATTTTTACGACAGTATGTTGGTTTTTGGATGTTTCGCAAAGATTTAATCTTGGGTTTATACAGTTTTTCTTAAAGAATACATTATAGTTTATAAACAGATAATTAAAATTAAAGAATAATAAAATAAATAGTAAAACCTTTTCAATATGTGAGTGCCGTAAAGGTATTATATTTAAGAAAATCTCTTCTTATAACTAACGAAGACTTTGTTTCTATATGAAGCTGACTTTGACATTTTGTTTTAATAAAACTTAGTATCGAAAAGTTTCTTTAAAAATTTGGCTAGGCTATGTTATACTGGTTCGTTCAAGCCATTTTTCAAAACTTACAAAGATAAATACGAACAGGCGAACTGTGAATTTTCAGAGCTATATATTTTTAGTATTCATTACAAAATTTTACTAAAAAGTACTGCGTAGTAGGAAAGTATATAGTAAATGAAATTGTATCAAACAAGTACAATTGTACCAAAAATGCCAACACTGCTCTGTATATATACTTATTTTTATTTTTTACTTTTTTACTCTTATTTTATCTTTCAGCTCCGCTAAAAGCACTTCTACCAACGCTTGGCTTACCAAATTTACGCCAATTGATAAAATTTCAATAATGTAAATAACGATTCGTGTTGAATCGAAAATCGCCTCGTCTGAATAGGGAAGGCAACTTTTTCACTTTCAACTTCTCATTCAACTTCGTATTCAACTTTTGTTGCCTGTAAAATCGTGACGTGCGAATGCCCTATAAGGTATCACTATAATGAGTACTTGTACTCAAAAGACTGAAAGTATCGATACCTACTCGGTATCGGCAAAGTATCGAGTACTTACTTGAATTGTTTTCATCTTCTCTTTCGAGAGATACTTTGTTGTAAAAGGTCTATGATTACGTCTTATCATGGTTTAAAACAATAGTTGTGTTTTTTTACAAATTATCCAGTAACTTGCCAGTAACTCTCCAGTAACTTTATTTCTAAGAATTTACTCTCATAGAAAAAATTTGCAAAAAAGTACGCGAACGCTTTTCCAGTAATAGTTTGCAAGTTTCATGAACAGCTGATAAATTGGTTGTTTATTCGCAGCAAATTCCTTATAAAACAATATATTTTGTATTTAAATAGGTTTATTTTGTGAAATTCAACAATAAAAAGCCACAAACAGTTTCCTTATTAGTTTGAATTTCATCCAGCAACATGCGATCAGCTGTTTTTCGTACTGGCAAATTCCTACATGTAAAAATTTATCCAGTAAAAACTTGCAACTTCAGCTGTCATTTTTCGCTCTCTCAATTTCCCCTACTTTGCAAGTTTTTGCGTACGAAAACGCCAAAACATGAAAATTCGTAAAAACTTTTACTGGATTTTACTGGAAATGAGTAAAAAACGCAACTAGTGTATGTCAAAATCGAATAAAAAGCCAATAAAGTTGCAGGTATAGAAAACGTATATATTTAAGTTATTTAGTAAGAATACAAAATAATTATTAATTAATATTTGTGGCACATTACCAAGGAACAGTATTGGTCATAATTTGTTCAGTCATATGAGTGTATAGGTCACCCAACATGGATAAGTTTCGGATTTTTATTTTCAAATTAGTTTTTGGGAACACTGACACATATGTGGCTCGCAATTCCAGCAGGGCATCAATGTTTTAATTTAGTGAAAAGGAAAGAAGACAAGTTTGTTTAAATTAATAATATGCTTGCTAAGTTTTTATTGAAAGTGTTTGGTTTTCGGAGAATATTTTACAATATTACATTGTGTGAGATGAAGGGTGGTGGGTGAAAGACTCCTCCGTGCTTGATAGTGATAAAAAAGGAATAACCGCGCTCTTTTATAAAAGGTTTAGCGGCACCCTCAAACAGCGAACTGTATTGAGGGGAAATTAAGCTAATTTGTTTATATTAAGTATTTGGCGGGAAATATAATGCAAAAGGGTGTATGTGCATATTCGTATGCATGTACATATATGTGTATGTGTGTGCGATTATATATTAGGGTGGTTCATCCTTTTAAAGTTTATTTTAGGCTTATGGCCTAAACATGCCGGCCCCCTTGCTATAAGCAACGTCGGTTGGGCCATTCAACCAACACACCTACATTAACAAATAAACTAAAAAAAAAATAAATATAAAATTGTATTCGGCTTCCTAGATATTGGAAAAAGAAGGTTAGTACGAAAGGATGTGGTTAAACATTTCTTTGCACATATGTGTATAATAAATTCAAGCAGTAAGTAGCTGGCGAGGCCGAGTCTCCAGTCTACCGTGATGCTGTATTTGATAAAATTATAGCGGTTTTAATTTTTTGAACGTGGTCGGAGAGGCCGAGATTCCGATCCCCGTTGCGCTATTTGCTTGTACTAACTTGGGTCGGAAAGCCCAAGTTTCCGATCCCATGATGTGATCGGGCGGAATGGCCGAGTTTCCGCTCCGAGTCTTTCGTTTATGTATATCCAGGGTACTTTAATTCATGAACCGATACATTGGCGCGTATTCATAGTCCAGGAACTAAGTCGAAACTAACAAAGTTGCAACTTAAATTTAAGTACCAACTTAAAATTTACCTCTATTCATAGTCGCATGTCAGACTTCTACTAAGTAGTTTCGACTTAGTTTACGATATAGCAAAACGAGTGTGAAAATGTATCGATTTTTCTTTACGATATTTTGGAAAAATTACATTTTTATTAAATAATATCAAGTTTGATCATCCGTTTATGTAATTTTTATTTGCATTGCATGATTATGCAAAAGAATAATACTAGGTTCACATATAAGTAGATTATCCTAATTTTCGAGCTTAAC